TTTATTTAGATACTAATTGCATGTACATACCAGTCTGCCATGTGTGTTTGAAGAAAGAGCAGACTGTACTATGATGTATACTGCTGAATAAACAGTCGGCTCCTGGAATTGAACTTGCAACCTTCCTAACATCAAACATGCTAACCATTGCACCATCTCTTTAAAATATTGAGGAAAAATATTTATTTATTTATTTATTTATAATATGACTAATTTTCACTGGGTTTAAATTTCACTGATTTAGCATTTCAGGCATATTCAGCAGGTTTTAAATTCATTGTTTTTTCATTAAGATAATGTGTTCTATGCTCAATTTGATATGTTCACTGGGTTTTAATTTAGGGCATTTTGCAGTCAGCAAAATAAGCAAAATTAAAACCCAGTGAATAATTAACCCTTTTACAGTATGAATTTGAAGAGTACAGCAGTAAGGTCACTTAAAACTACACAACAATAATAAATTAAACAACAATGAAAAACAAAAAGATTACAGCAATGCAGCAAAATAGTATTTTCATACTGAAATCAATAAATAAAAATAGTTGCGTATTTTATTAGATTTCACTAAGTACTGTCATACAATGTACATGTATTGTATTAGAAGCTCCATTAGGAGTGCATGTAAGCCAACAGTTGCCTTTATTGTCTACTGTTTATATTTTACAGATGACAGGCTGTACTACAAGAATATAGCATTCTAATTATTTGCTATTCGGACCGAAAAGATAATACCCACCCACACCAAAATTGACATACCCCTGTGATACTGTTCAATGGTGACTGGTCTCCACAGGTTAGTATATTGATTTGAATAATTCATATTTTTTCCTACATTCATATCTCAATAATATGTAGTTGATATTACCCACAGTACAGTCCAAGTATAACTTAACATTTACTGTACTTGTTCAAGTATAAATCTCTGCTCAATATGTTACCGAATTTTACAACAAGTCATATATCTGATTATTAGCCCCCCTCCTAATTTACCGAATTTTACAAGACATATACCTGATTATTAACCCCTCCCCCCACATACACACACACATGTTCACCACTTAGATCTCAGTCCTGCATCATCAAGCTATGTTCAAACTTGGTACATTGGTTGAACATAATGTGACTTGATACACATCATTTTATTTTTTGGATCAGGTTCAAAATGGTCGACAGATGGCAATTTTGTTATCCAGAATGTAGTTTTGGATACTTATACATGTATCTGACATGCCTAGACTGATCAAGTTTAAACTACCACATACATCAGACATTCAACTTTTACACAGTCTATGACAGTTTTGTTCTGATGAACTTTTGTAGAAAATACTCAGATCTATATTGCTGTGACATCTGGTATATTCAATTTACACCCAAGATGGACATTCAAAAAACTAGGTACTCTTTGTTTTTCCTAAAAAATATACAATGATCAGGGATTTTTTTTAAATCTGAGCCATGAGCCCCCCCCCCCTACCCTGGGGAGCAGATCCTCTGGCAACCATAAAATTATGTGGCCACAGTCTTCAACTGTGACCTGGCTGATAGTAATTTTGGCCATTTTAACTTACAACTATCAAAAACTCCACAATCTGGTAGGGAGAACCCTATCTCCCTAACTTGGTGGCTCCGCTGAATTGCAGTGCTCCCTCTTGCAGTTTTTTTCTGGAAAAACCCCTGTTATAATGCAAGTTTATTTGAATAATTTATATGCTTGTCTATCTGTTTTACTGACACAGGGTAAAGCAGTTATCCAATCAAAGACATGAATTCATGTATCCGGTCACTCATCACATCCTTATATGGTA